GAAATTTCAATGGTCTGAAGCTTGTGAGAACAACTTTCAGGAATTGAAAAAGAGGTTGATTTCAGCTCCAGTTTTGACGTTACCAGAAGGCACTCAAGGTTTGTAGTGTATTGTGATGCAGCTAGAGTTGGTTTGGGTTGTGTCTTAATACAGAATGGCAAAGTTATAGCTTATGCCTCCAGACAGTTGAAGGTTCATGAGAAGAACTACCCAACCCATGACTTAGAATTGGCTGCTGTAGTATTTGCTTTAAAGATATGGCGTCATTACTTGTATGGTGTGCATGTCGACATATTCACTGATCACAAGAGCCTTCAATATGTGCTTACCCAGAGAGAGATTAATCTCAGACAGATGAGGTGGTTAGAGTTACTCAAGGATTATGACCTGAGTATTCTTTACCACCCAGGTAAGGCTAATGTTGTTGCTGATTCTTTGAGCAGGTTGTCTATGGGTAGCACCGCCCATATTGAAGAAGGAAGGAGAGAGTTAGCAAAAGATGTGCACAGACTGGCATGCCTGGGAGTCAGATTTACAGATTCCACAGAAGGAGAAATAGCGGTGACGAGCAGGGCCGAGTCATCATTAATGTCAGAAGTGAAAGAGAAGCAAGATCAAGATCCCATTTTGCTTGAGTTGAAGGCAAATGTTCAGAAGCAAAGAGTATTAGCTTTTGAACAAGGGGAAAATGGTGTTTTGAGATTTCAAGGTAGGTTGTGCGTACCTATGGTAGATGGACTCCAAGAGAGGATTATGGAGGAAGCTCACAGCTCCAGATATTCTATTCATCCGGGTTCCACCAAGATGTATCGTGATTTACGTGAAGTTTATTGGTGGAATGGCATGAAGAAGGGCATTGCTGAGTTTGTTGCTAAGTGTCCAAATTGCCAACAAGTGAAAGTTGAACACCAAAGGCCCGGTGGTTTGGCTCAAAGGATAGAACTTCCAGAGTGGAAGTGGGAGATGATCAATATGGATTGCATCACAGGGTTGCCAAGGTCTCGCAGACAACATGATTCTATTTGGGTGATTGTCGACAGAATGACAAAGTCAGCTTATTTTCTACCCGTAAAGACTACCAATACAGCAGAAGATTATGCCAAGTTGTATGTTCAAGATATAGTGAGACTTCATGGAGTCCCAATCTCCATTATTTCAGATAGAGGTGCACAGTTTACTGCACAGTTCTGGAAATCTTTTCAGAAGGGCTTGGGTTCAAAGGTGAACTTAAGTACTGCCTTTCACCCTCAGACTGATGGGCAAGCAGAGCACACTATTCAGACCTTAGAGGATATGTTGAGGGCTTGTGTAATCGATTTCAAAGGGAGTTGGGATGATTACCTACCTCTCATTGAGTTTGCCTACAACAACAGTTATCACTCTAGCATCCAGATGGCTCTATATGAAGCTCTTTATGGGAGAAGATGTAGATCTCCTATTGGATGGTTTGAAGTTGGTGAAGCACAGTTGATAGGAACAGATTTAGTTCACCAAGCTATGGAGAAGGTGAAAGTGATTCAAGCGAGGTTGAAAATGGCACAGAGTCCTCAGAAATCCTACACCGATGTTAGGAGAAGGGCGTTAGAATTTGAAATAGACGATTGGGTATATTTGAAGGTTTCACCCATGAAAGGCGTTATGGGGTTTGGTAAGAAGGGTAAACTTAATCCCCGGTATATTGGACCTTACCGCATAGCCAAGAGGATTGGCAATGTTGCTTATGAGTTGGAGTTACCACAGGAACTAGCAGCGGTTCATCCGGTATTTCACATCTCCATGTTGAAAAAGTGCATAGGCGATCCTTCATTGATCCTACCGACTAAAAGTATCAAGATCAAGGATAACTTATCTTATGAGGAGATTCCTGTTCAAATTTTAGATCGGCAATTTCTTAAGTTGAGAACAAAGGATGTAGCCTCAGTCAAGGCCCTTTAGAGGAACCAATTTGTTGAGTAAGCTACTTGGGAAGCCGAAGAAGACATGAAGAAGAGATATCCATATCTCTTTGAATCCGCAGATCAAGGTATTAATTTCCTTCTTAGTGCTCTTTTAATTATAATGAGCATGTTGTTGTTGTTGTTGTGTTTGCATAGTTGCTCGTTGGGTGTTTGAGTTGTTGTTGCACCCTTAGCCTTATAAGAGTAACCTCATTCGAGGACGAATGTTCCCAAGGGGGAGATATTGTAACATCCGGCAATTTGAAATAACTATGGAAAAGCTTGAAATTTGAAATAGTCATTTCTGGAAAATAATGAAAGGAATTCAGAATCTGGAAAATTTGGCTAAGTTCAAAAATCTGGAAATTTGGCTAAGTGTGGAAATCAGTGAGTTTTTGGCCAACTTTGAGTAGTCGTAACTCCTAGCTCAAGATGGGTTAGGAGTAGTTCCAGTTATGGTTGTGAAGCTTGTGGAACGATCTTTCCAACGCCACTGAGTTTGCTCAATTCCGAGTTCGTATGAGCGAGTTATGCCCTTTGAAAGTTGGGGCAATTGGCAGGGAGTCCGTCCGGAAATTTAAGGGCATTTTGGTCTTTTCACAAATCATTTCTTTTGAGGTTATATTGTTGTGTTAGGCTGTTTGTGGATCATTTTTGTTCCATTTTAAAAGAGAGAAAGTTAGGGTTCTTGAGAGTGAAGAAGAGAAGAAGAAGAGAAGAAGAGGAGAAAGAGGAGATCAACAAGTTTCCGTCGTGGAATTTCGTCGGGGATGATCCCTATCAAGGTATGTGAGTTCTTTAGTGTGGGTTGATCCTTTCTCCCACACACCAAGCTCATTTTATGATTTGAGAAAATATTGGATTTGTTGTTGAAGTTGTTAGTTGTTGTTGATGTTGTTAGTTGTGTTGTGGAAGTTATTGTTGGTTGTGGGACATGATTTGGTTGTGTTCTTGACCTGAAACCTATTGTATATTGAGGGATTTTATGATCCTTAGTGTTGGTTGGTTCATACCCCCACACACCAACTCGTTTTTACTTCCAAGAAAAGATTTATTTTGGTTGTTGGTTGTGTTGTTGAAGTTCTTGCTGATTTGGGACAGGATCTGGTTGCATTTTTGAGTGGAATCCACTGTATGTTGAGGGGTTTATGACCCCAAGTGTTTGGGATAAGAACCTTTGAGGTTGAGAGGGTTTAGAGTTGGCAACATGAAGGAGAAAAGTTGGGCAGCTTGCCTGAAGCAAGTCTGCGTTGCAGCTGTGTTCCCTCTGCGAACAAAATCTGCCCTGTTTTCAGAATCTAAATTTCGAAATTTTCTTAAGTCTAGCTGTCCTAAATTATTTCCTAAACATCATGGGTCCTTCCAAACACAAATCATTACCCTTGAATTCATAATTCCAATTTAAGGAGAGTAAAGTTAGAAGTCAAGTGAAGTTAGTTTCCAAGTCAAGTCGAGTTAGAAGTCAAGTGAAATTAGAAGTCAAGCTTAGAAGTTAAGAAGTTAGTTCAAGCAAGTCCTCCAAGCTTTTCAAGAGTCTTTATTGAACGTTTTAACTTCATTCTAAGGCTCAAGTTGCAAGTCAAGTAAAGAGTAAAGAGTCAAGAGTTTAAAGTTGAGTTCATTTTCTCAAAGTTATTAGGGAACTATGTATTCCCAAAGAAGTTTTAAATAAATGTTTTTACATTTAAACAAGGTTGGAAACTGAGATTTCCAAAAGAGCCTTCGGGCGAGTTTTTGAGTAATTATCTCATATCAGCAGGAATAAATATGTTTTAAAAAACATAAGAGCCAGTAAATTTTTGGGAGTAGTATCGAGCACCGAATTGGTGGAGCGTTCAAAGAACCCACAGCCCCCATAGAACCATGTTAGCCACCATGGGTAGAAAAAGATCATACTTTTTAGATGAACCCTTTTCAGATTAGACTAGTGGATCCATTAGGCAGTTCAGGTCTTATACCTTTGGCAGGGTATAAGATGCTTTGGCAGCGTGAGGTCGATCGTTGTATCATCACTATAGCTCTTATGTGATGGTTGTCAGTTAGAGAAACTCCCACAGCAGTTATTGTATTTTCATACACAGAGATTATTGTATTTTTATATACATCAGTTCATTGTATTTCTATATATATTTCAGGCTTATTGTATCTTTGTATACACACAGAGTTTATAGCACGTTTTAAACAGTCTTTCTTTATATCGCACTTGTTTTAAATTGCCTTATATTGAAAGAAGTCAGTCAGGTTGAGTTGAGTTGAGCAAGGTAAACTTTTCAGTTTCTTCCAAATTTCCTTCTAGCCTATGTTGCTTAGTTTTCCAGCTCGCATACTCGTACATTCCATGTACTGATGCCAGTTGGCCTACATCGTCTTATAATGGAGATACAGGTACCCCGGATCAGCATCCTGCACGTAGTTGATCCAGCTGAGCACTCCAGAGTCAGTGGTGAGCCTCCTTGCATTCCGGAGGACTCAATTATTTTGTGTTCTTAGTTTTTGTTTTATTAGGATATTTCGGGGTCTGTCCCAACATCCATCTCAGTATTTTAGAGGCTTCATAGACAGACAGTCAGTCAGTTAGTTTTAAGTCTCTCATCTATATATATATGTAAATATCCTATTTTGAGATTCGAGTTGCCTTTATGGCCATATTTTATAAGTTAAGTTGTTTTGTAATATTGCATTGCATTGAGTTATTCTGTTGGGTTAGGTTTCCGCTGAGTTAATAAAGCCAGACCAATGGTTCGCTTGGGGCCTGAAATGGTCTCCGGGTGTCGGTCCCACCCAGGGTGTAGGCTCGGGGCGTGACACTTTCCAGCACTGAGATCAAAGACTTGCCCAACTCCGTTTGCAAGCTCTAACATTTAGAGTCAATGGTTGTTTTTCACTGAGGAAGCTTTCGGAAGAAATGGCAAATATGATAAGTTTGAGACACATATATTACCAATCAGAAATTGATTATCAGTTTCAGATGCCACTTAATATGGGGCAATTGATCAGTCTTCAGACGCTACAATTTTTCTACGTAGGTGTAGAGAAAGGTCGTCAAATAGAAGAATTAGGCCGTTTGAAAAACCTTAGAGGTGAATTGACAATCAAACGTCTACAATTAGTCGGCAATAAATGTCACGCCCCGAGTCTACACCCTGGGTGGGACCGGCACCCGGAGACCATTCTTGGCCCCAAGCGAACCCTTGGCCTAACTTTCTTAACTCAGCAGAAACCTACCCCAACAGAATAACTCAATGCAATGCAATATTACAAAACAACTTAACTTATAAAATATGGCCATAAAGGCAACTCGAATCTCAAAATAGAATATTCACATATATATATAGATGAGAGACTCAAAACTAACTGACTGACTGTCTGTCTATGAAGCCTCTAAAATACTGAGATGGATGTTGGGACAGACCCCGCAACATCCTAATAAAACAAAAACTAAGAACACAAAATAATTGAGTCCTCCGGAATGCAAGGAGGCTCACCACTGACTCTGGAGTGCTCAACTGGATCAACGACGTGCAGGATGCTGATCCGGGGTACCTGTATCTGCATCATAAGACGATGCAGGCCAACTGGCATCAGTACATGGAATGTACAAGTATGCGAGCTGGAAAACTAAGCAACATAGGCTAGAAGGAAATTTGGAAGAAACTGAAAAGTTTACCTTGCTCAACTCAACTCAACCTGACTGACTTCTTTTAATATAAGGCAATTTAAAACAAGTGCGATATAAAGAAAGACTGTTTAAAACATGATATAAACTCTGTGTGTATACAAGGATACAATAAGTCTGAGATGTATATAGAAATACAATTGAACAGATGTATATAAAATACAATAATTTCTTTGTATAAAAATACAATAACTGCTGTGGGAGTTTCTCTAACCGACAACCATCACATTAGAGCTATAGTGATGATACAGCGATCGACCTCACGCTGCCAAAGCATCTTATACCCGGCCAAAGGTATAAGACCTGAACTGCCTAATGCATCCACTAGTCTAATATGAAAAGGATTCATCTAAAAAGTATGATCCTTTTCTACCCATGGTGGCTAACATGGTTCTATGGGGGCTGTGGGTTCTTTGAACGCTCCCCCAATTCGGTGCTCGATACTACTCCCAAAAATGTACTGGCTCTTATGTTTTTAAAACATATGTCTTCCTGTTGATTTAGATAATTACTCAAAAAAAAACTATCCCGAAGGCTTTTTGGAAATCTCAGTTTCCAACCTTGTTTAGATGTAAAGACATTTCTTTAAAACTTCTTTGGGAATACATAGTTCCCTAATAACTTTGAGAAATGAACTCAACTTTTAACTCTTGACTCTTTACTCTTTACTTGATTTGCAACTTGAGCCTTAGAATGAAGTTAAAACGTTCAATAAAGACTCTTGAAAAGCTTGGAGGACTTGCTTGAACTAACTTCTTAACTTCTAAGCTTGACTTCTAACTCGACTTGACTTGGAAACTAACTTCACTTGACTTGGAAACTAACTTCACTTGAATTGGAAACTAACTTTACTTGACTTGGAACTAACTCTCCTTGAATTGGATTATGAATTCAAGGGTAATGATTTGTGTTTGGAAGGACCCCATGATGATTAGGAATAATTTAGGACAGCTAGACTTAAGAAAAATTTCGAAATTACCTTCTGAAAACAGAACATATTCTGTTCACAGAGGGAACAAATCTGTGACGCAGACTTGCTTCAGGTAAGCTGCCCAACTTTTCTCCTTCATGTTGCCAACTCTAAACCCTCTCAACCTCAAAGGTTCTTTTCCCAAACACTTGGGGTCATAAACCCCTCAACATACAGTGGATTCCACTAAAAAACGCAACCAGATCCTGTCCCAAATCAGCAAGAACTTCAACAACACAACCAACAACTTCAACAACCAAAATAAATCTTTTCTTGGAATTAAAAACGAGTTGGTGTGTGGGGGTATGAACCAACCAACACTAAGGATCATAAAATCCCTCAATATACAATAGATTTCAGCTCAAGAACACAACCAAATCATGTCCCACAACCAACAATAACTTCCACAACACAACTAACAACATCAACAACAACTAACAACTTCAACAACTTCAACAACAAATCCAATCTTTTCTCAAATCATAAAATGAGCTTGGTGTGTGGGGGAAATGATCAACCCACACTAAAGAACTCACATACCTTGATAGGGATCACCCCCGACGAAATTCCACGACGGAAACTTGTTGATCTCCTCTTTCTCCTCTTCTTCTCTTCTTCTTCTCTTCTTCACTCTCAAGAACCCTAACTTTCTCTCTTTTAAAATGGAACAAAAATGATCCACAAACAGCCTAACACAACAATATAACCTCAAAAGAAATGATTTGTGAAAAGACCAAAATGCCCTTAAATTTCCGGACGGACTCCCTGCCAACTGCCCCAACTTTGAAAGGGCATAACTCGCTCATACGAACTTGGAATCGAGCAAACTCGATAGCGTTGAAAAGATCGTTCCACAAGCTTCACAACCATAACTGGAAATACTCCTAACTCATCCTGAGATAGGAGTTACGACTACTCAAAGTTGGCCAAAAACTCACTGATTTCCACACTTAGCCAAATTTCCAGATTTTTGAACTTAGCCAAATTTCCAGATTCTGGACTTAGCCCAATTTTCCAGATTCTGAATTCCTTTCATTATTTTCCAAAAATGACTATTTCAAATTTCAAGCTTTTCCATAGTTATTTCAAATTGCCGGATGTTACAATAAAGAAGAGGCTCAAACAACATATTTACAGGAGAAACCAAATATCTACAAGCTGGTGTATTTATGGTCCCATGATGAATCAGAAGGCTGTGAGATCAATGATGAGCATGTGTTGGATGGTCTTCAACCACATCCTAACTTGAAAACCTTAGTAGTGGAGAACTATTGGGGGACTATATTTCCTTCATGGTTCAGTGCAGAATTGCTGCCAAATTTGGTCATGTTGAAATTAAGTGGTTGCAAGAGGTGCAAAGATATTCCATCGCTTGGTCAACTGAAGTTCCTTAGGCATCTTGAGCTGATAGGATTCCTTGAATTGGAATGCATTGGACCTACATTTTATGGTGTTGATAATGGATCAAGCAGCAATAATAGCAATATCCAAGTGTTCCCGTCATTGAAAGAACTAGTATTGAAGGATATGCATAGCCTTATAGAGTGGAAGGGAGATGAAGTTGGAGTAAGAATGTTTCCTGGGCTTGAGAGGTTGACGATTACAGAGTGTCCACTGTTAAAAAGTGCTCCAACTCAATTGGAAACCCTGCGTGAATTAGAAATTGGAAGAGTTGACTGCGAAATGCCATTGTTGAACTTGTGCTGCAACTTAACATGTCTTGTGGATCTTGCTGTCAGGGACGTGAAAGAGATCACTTGTCTACCTGATGCTACACAGCAATGCTTCTCTTCAACACCTATGGATCTCAGATTGCAAAGAGTTTTGTGAATTGCCACAGAGCTTGTACAATCTCCATTCCCTTAAGAGCTTAGGAATATCCTTCTGCCCCAATTTCAGTTCTTTTCCTGTTCCCAGTGGAGAGAATTATTTAACTTCCCTCCAAAGGCTTGAGTTAGAGTATTGTGATGGATTGACCAGTTTACCAAATGGAATGCTAGAACAATGCCGGTCTCTAAAGATGTTGAGGGTCAGCGACTGTAAGAACTTGGTTTCCTTCCCTTTACATGTATGGGAAGTGCCTTCACTTTCCATTTTGGATATGTCAAATTGTGCCAAATTGATTAGTTTACCCACATGAGGCCTTCACCGTCTCACTGGGTTACGGTATTTGAACATTGGTCCTTTCTCGGAGATTGTGGATTTTGAGGTATTCCAATTGATTTTTAATGGCATTCAGCTGCTATTGTCCCTTCGTACATTGATGGTGTACAGACATGGGCACTGGGATTCTCTGCCCTATCAGCTTATGCAACTCTCTTCCCTAACTGAGATCAGATTAAGTGATTTCGGTATTGAGGAGCTTCCTCATAGTCTTTGCAATCTTACTTCTCTTGAAACATTATATCTAGTGACGTGCAAATGGCTACAACATGTGGACTTCACAGATGCCATGCCCAAATTACATTATCTTGAGATCTGTGGTTGTCCATTGTTAGAAGCTCTATCGGATGGGCTCAGCAACCTTGTTTGTTTGGAAACGCTATGTTTTTGGAACTGCAAAATACTAGAGCGTCTGCCATCCAGAGATGTCATGCAAGCCTCACCAAATTAAGTACCCTACGAATTGAAGGCTGCCCAGAGTTAGAAGAAAGTTGCACCAATAGGAGTGGCCCAAACTCCCAGTGGTCCAACATTTCCCATATTCCAAATATTAAAGTAGGCTGGATGGCAATTTGGGACTGTTTTTCTCTTTCACTTTCTTAGTCGATTTTTTAAATATTATTTTCCACTAGTTTCAGAAAAAGAGCTTTGTATGTAATTTAATATTTTTGTTACTGTAGTTATTTTGACATAAAAAAATGCAAAATTATCAATCAATTGCATTTGTGCGGCTTTCAGCATTCTGCTTGTCCACTTGAACCTGATTGTTGTTCTTCTAATTCTTCAAGTATGGTATATCTTGATATGATTTAATCATGAAAATTTATGGGTTTTTTTTTCTTATGGGTTTCTAGTTCCAAGGTCATGGTAGAACATCGCAATGGTAAATCAAGCCAAATCATATGAACGGCAGGCAATTATGAGGAATGCTATAACAAGTTTGTCGAGTTTTTTTTTGTATTCTTTTTCTCTCATGAAACAATTTTACTGTTTAAGGGGGTTTGGTATGTTTCATACAGGAACCACCAGTTTTATTTTGGTATGAAGAACAGAATCTTCATCTGTAGACTCATTATGGGATATTTTCATGAGTATTTGGTTCACTGAACAACCCTTTTCCAAGAACTGAAGTCTACATATGAAACATCAAAAAACTCAAAGTGTATAGGGTGCTCAATGAGAAGCGTCTATCCTCTATCTTTTCGTGGCTGTGTTTTCCTTTTTATTCTCCATGTAAGTTTTTGCAATTTTATTTGACCACTAAAATCTGAAATCTACTCTCATCGAGA